AGGCAGATGAAAATCAGGTGGAAAAATATTTCTAGCAAATGTACTTGCTGTTAATTTAAGCCAGTCCTGAGGCAGCATCTATTTGGCTGGTTCAAGAACCAGTTTTCTACACTCATCCCTGAGGACACTCATCTGAAAAAAGAGGTTCCCAAAGCAGAAAAATTCTGGAAAACCAGGCATACTGTGTAAACAGGATGAAGAAACATTCACCAGCACCGCTGACTCTCATGGAAACCTTCCTGAAAAGTGGTATTATACCCATAAAACAGACAAGGGCAACAAAGGGCTGGTTAATCACAGACTCTGGTCCCAAATCACACAAGTGGGCTATGGAGTAGCAGAGTTGAGCTGAGAGTGCTGAAGCCTGATCTCTTCCTACTGTGTTACTAAGAGCTGGGTCTCAACAACACAAGGCAAACACCCTACCCACTGTGCTATTGTTCCAGCCCTGTTGGTTGGAAATTCTAAGTTCCTCATTGGCTGTGAGTGAAAATCCCTAGAGTCATCCCCCGATTTCACACTGGAGACTCCACCTACTGGACCCAGGTCCACCAAGAGCTGCTTCTGGGGACTTGGGGTGCGTCTCTCATCACCAGTTCTCGGGCACCAGAGACAGGAACATCTGTAACCGACCTACCAGAAATCCACCTTTTATTGCAGGACTTGCTAAACAGTCACTTCTCAGCTCAGAAGTGGTCTTTGGAACGTCTTTCCAGGATTCTCACATTCAATCCGGTCCAGGAAAAGGATCTGAGAATCTGCACTGCTTTTACAACCAGTTTAATTTCACACGTTATTATTTCTCGAGCTGCCTCGGTTCTCCCTTTATCGTGTATAACTGCAGAGGAAATTTGTAGACTTTTTCTGAGGTGAGATTCTCACCCAGTAGTAAGAAAATCTCACCTCATATAGAGTTAGCCTTTCTTTAAAGATATTCCACCTGCTCTGTAAACACTGTTTCAAGCTCTAATAATGCCTGTAAGGGTCAAGTGTTCTCTTTGGACAAGGGGCAGAACCGAGAATGTTAGCCTGACAGAACTCAAACTTTTTTTTTTTTAAATGCCCAAGGAAAAGCAAATGCAAAGCTGGGAAAGGAAGAGATAAGGACAGGTCTGACCGAAAGCAAGGAGTAAGCATGGTCCAGGAAAGGGGCGTTCTCCTGTCACCAGCTCTTGTGACAGAAGCATCCTCCTGTGGCTGGAGGGACAGCTCTCTGGCCTGGAGCAGCGGGGGAAGGCGAAATCTTTCTAACCCATCTGTGCTGGGAAACAGGACGATCAACAATTCTAGCTCCATGAAGTCAAAGTCAAAACTCAAGTATCACACGAGGACTTAATGCTACGATCACCTGATCTTAAATAAGGCAACAAACCCTACCAATGAAACGTCACCCAGGTACTCTGTGTCTTTATGTGATAAACAGCCTTTCCTGGTATTTCCTTTTCTCTCAGCCCAGCGAGGCAGGCTTAGCTTTCTCATTCCTGTTTCAAGATGAGGAAACTGAGGCACCTGACCTCTCCAAGGCCAGGGCAGTGCCGCCGCTCCATGCTGTGTTTCTAAGCCACACTTTTCTCCTGCCCTTCGTTTCCTTCTCTGTCTCCATCTCCTCCTCCTGCTCCTCTTCCTCCTTCTCCCAGTATATTGCTGTGAGGTCCTGAGTTCCTTTATAATGTCAAAACGAAATGGGCTTGGATTTTAAGACCTGGATGTGAGCAGTCAGATTCTTCTTTGGACTTAAGTTGCCTGCTGTGTGCGCTTGTCAGCTGCAAAGACACAAGCTCTCTCTAGGTGCTAGAAAGAGCAAGTGAACTAGGATACCTGCATACCGAACCAGCGCTCACCACCCAGAGATGTGGCTGTCTGGAAATTTCCCACAGAAAGCACAGAGTGACTGGACCTTGCTAGGATTTAAATGCTGAGAGTGGCCAAAGCTGTGCGCAGTGGTCAATGTGCCTGCTACAGTGTCCAGGCCTTGCCTGGTATTTGGCTTCGCAGAAGAACATCAAGAAAAGCAGCAGTGGCAGCTGCTCTACTCTGCAGCTGCCCACAATGCCCCCTGAGGAGAAGCCAGGTGCTTCCAGGTCCCACGCGTGTGCTGTGCTGCAGGAGGAACCTGAGAGACATCATCTGAGACTGTAACAAGGGCTGCTGGCCTCTGCGCCTCCTGTTCAGACCTCCCGGACCCTGCAGCAATCGCTGCTTGCTTCCCTGGCTTGTATGTCCCTCTCTTGGCTTCCCTCTTTCTTTTGCTAAAATTCATCCTCTAGGAGTTCCAGAGCAGCGAGGCATGGGCATCGACCTCTAGGATTTTTGTTTCTGGAAACACTTTCCTCTCTCGCTCAGGAGGGATCAGGGCAGAATGACAGGCTAAATTAGGTTCCTTTGCAGCAGCAGGCCCCGTTCAGCGATGCAGAGTCGGCATCATTAATGCTGAGATGTCTGCTGCTGCGCTGGGGATTCTGAACTCGCTTTCTGCATGGCTGGAAGCTCTGGGGCCATTCCCCACAGATCCCCATATTGAGTCCTCGCATCAGCACCGGGCCCGGGAGCCCTTCCACAAGGCGATGCAGAGCCTTGGCGTCAGAGAATGTCTTTTGTTCTCCATGTTCACCCGTTTCTATTCCTTTGTTTTGTTTTGCTTAAATGCCTACCAATGGGATGCTGGCCCTCGAGGGAGAAGCCTCAGCTCATCTTTTATGTATTTCCCACTTTTTTCCTTTTTGGATCTATCTTCTGGGTAATTTCTTTTACTCTAACCTTTGTCACTGGACTTATTTATTTTAAAAAATATTTTCTCATTCCCACTGGATTGTTTTTCGTTCTGGACCATACCCAGCTGTGCTCAGGGCTTACTCCTGGCTCTGCACTCAGGGATCACTCCCGATCAGGCTCAGGGAACCAGTTGTGTTGCCAGAAATCAAACTCAAAATCAAATTAACCCCTGTGCTATATCTTCAGCCTCCCCTTGGATTTGAATTTTTAAAAACTTTTTTTTTTTTTTACTTTGTCTCCTTCCGGTCTTTAACAACAAACTGCATCCCTTTCTTCCTTCCTGGGTACAATGTCTTATCCCATTTCCCAGAGGAATTAAATACAGTTTCTTTCATGTTTTCATTTGCTCTTTACATTATCTTTGTTACCTCCAACTTTTGTTTTCCCCTCTGTTAATTTTGGTGCCTTTCATTTCAAGAGACCACCTCATTCATATTTAAGAGCTGGGCACTAAAAAGCCGGCTGGTAGCTTTGTATGCATAGAAGGGATTTATCCACGGAGTGTCTGGGAGACGACACAGAGGCTGATGTCTTTCACCACAGAGCCCCCCACAGGTTAAGCATCTAGAGGACTTGAGCCTGAGAGTTTTCTCCAGCGTTGCCTGTGAAAGACCTAATCTGTCTCAGGCGGGGGGACCCCCATCAGCAGGGCTGCCCAGGGCTGGGGCCTGGGACCCACTGGAGCATGTGAGCTGTCAGCCTGCTCGAACAGTACAAATGGACAACAGACTTGATTAAAGAGGCCCATGAGATTACAAATTAACCCAAGTTAAAAAATAAACTTAAGCAGAGCAACAGCATTTTATTTTTACCATTTCCAAGTGAAATATTTTATTTTTTAAATGATTTGTTTTTCAATTGAATCACAGTGGATACACCGTCACAAAGTTATTCATGATGGGGTTTCAGTCACACAATGTTCCAACTCTCGCCCTTTCACCAGCGTACCTTTCCCACCACCAATGTCCCCAGTTTCCCCCTGTGACAGGCACTTTTCTTCTCTCTACCAACGGAAATATTTTATAAGTGCAGAGCCCAAGAGGCTCCGTGATGTTTCTTTCCCTTCTGGCTATCGCCTCATACACTGCACCCCCTTGTTTCTGCGCCCCTATGGCCAGGCTCACAAACCAGCCCCCATGGCCACTGTGAGGAATGATGAACTGCTCTTTCACTCGCTATGAGCTCGCTGGCAGGAGGAAGGAAAAAGGCACTGTTGTTTATGACTCCAGAGAAAGCATTATTGAGCTCCTGACCTGGTCTGGTCCTCCTTGACCTATGGGAGAAGCTGAGGAGGAAAAAACAGGACAGATGTGGGTCAATGCCAGTACACATGGTTCCTCGTGGAGGAACCACTGGGCAGGGTCACATCAGCCCTCAGCCTACCCACTTCTTCTGGGTTCTGTTCCCACAGCAAGCACGGCACATAGCTGCCGAGGTCAAGAAAGAAATGCGTTCTCCCTGCATTACCAAGCACCATCCGCAGACAGAAAGTGCCAACACCATATTTCTACTTGCTTTAGAAGTGAAATTTTATTAAGCTCTGCACTTGGGAACATAAAAGGCCTTTTTACATTTATGGTAATTTCTGTGCTTTGATTACAGGTTACCTTACTGTGTAAGACAGGTCTGAAACATATTTATTAAATATTATAAGTTTAAATGCCTACTATAATTACGAGAAACAACCTAGTCTACACAATTTAGGAACTATTAAAATTGAAGTCAGAGGCCCTTAAAAAGATGAAAGCGTTTATCCGTTTTGTTCCACAGCTGTGTATGTTTAAAATGAATTGAATTTAATGTCTTGTTAGAACAACCAAAAAAAAGTTATAAAATTTGTTCTAAAGTTGACCAAGTCTATGTAGAAAACACATTTCTGGGGCTGAAAAGATAGTACAGTGGTATCTCACATGGTCCCCTGAGCACCACCAGGAGTATTTCCTGAGTACAGAGCCAGGAGTTACCCCTGACTATCACCAGGTATGCCCCAAAATTTAATAAAGAAAAAAAAAGAAAAGAAAAGAAAGAAGGAAGGAAGGAAGGAAGGAAGGAAGGAAGGAAGGAAGGGAGGGAAAGAAAATACATTTCCTTTAGGAATGAATCACAGTCACTATGAAATTTATAATTTACCAAGTAAATTCCAATTATCCTCTATTGACCTACTTCTCCAAAAGTAACTGTGGACATTTCACACTGATTGACAACTACACACACACAAGGACACTCACCAGGTTTTTGAAAAGCGCTGTCAACTCCTTCGTAAACACCGAGAACTTCAAGAACGCACTTCCTAAATCTGGGTCGTCTCGGCACACACAGTTGCCACCAAACTTCTCCAAAGCCTGGGTGTACTGCTCTTCATTTTCCACATGTGCTGTGAGAGAAACGGAAGATGCATGTTCAGTGTAGCAACCTCTCCATCCCCGTTCACCACTAGGCGCTTCTTGGTCATAAACAGAACTCAGCAAATTAGCTGAATGAAAATCTGTAAGGGCAAGTTGCACAAAGCTGAATATAGCTGGTAGCCACAAAACCAACCCTGGGGTAACTGCAAAACTTTCTAAAAATATCCTACATAAACAAGTATGAGAACCAGGAAGGCACAAGCCTTGCAGAAATCATCAGCTTCAGTAGCATGAAAGAGATGAGCAATGTACCCCTATATCTCCAGCTCTTCCACATCTCCTAGAACTTCTTCCTTGGCTTATACAATGATAGATACCCCCGTCAAATTGGCAAACTCACTTCTCACACAGATGCCGAGCCAAGAGATGCTGGATCCTCTCCTGCCTGAAGCTCACCCACAGGTTCTGATTCCTCGATCACAGAAGACGTCCAGCCCTGATGTGTCTGCTGCTGTGCCCTTGACCCAGATTCAGCGCTTGCCTCTCATGCATCATAAAGACTTGTACTTCCTCAGAAAACCATCCATGATTCTACACTACACTCCGGTATCTGGCTTTGGGTTCTTCCAGTCCTCGCACTTCATGTTTTATATTGAATTTATCTGATAAATATGACCCTGATATCTTGGTATATTTAAATGGTAGAAACCAAGAGTATTCATCTTTGTGCCTGAAACATACAACCAATGCTTTGCTTTTTTTGTGTGTGGGGGGAGGTAAGTTTTGGGGCCACAACTGCAAAACTGGCAGTGCTCAGGGACTGTATGGGGTGCTGGGGACTGAACCTGGGTCAGCTGCACACAAGGCAAGCACTTTACCTGCTGTACTATCTCTCTGGCCCTCTGGGGTCCGTGTGTGTGTGTGTGTGTGTGTGTGTGTGTGTGTGTGTGTGTGTTTGGGTGGCGGGGAGGGATATGTTTTGGGGCATACATGGTAGTGCCTGAGACTGCACTGGGGCCAGCTGTGTGCATGTGCTTTAACCCCAGTATTACCTCTCTAGCCCCTAAATGTTTGAATATATGTGTGTGTGTATATATATATATATGTATATATATATATATATGTTAAACCAAACAAAAAACAAGCCCTGGGCATCCACCTGATAGCATTTAGCTGTCATTTACCCACAAAGCCACACTTTCAGGAGTGAACACTCTGTTACTGGGTTTCCCACTGGGCATCAACATCACACAAGGATGTTATTCTTACTAAATGCAGTGAGTCTTGTCTCAGATTCCTGCTTGAGTCACAGGGACTGGGGAAGAGTGGACAGATAACAGTGAGGTGGAAAATAATTCCCTGTCTTCTGTGCTGGCTGAACGTTTAGATTTTTATTTTAGGTGCCGTGGTTTATGATAACGTTGACGGCAAGGGGTTCATGAACAACACTTTCCAGCACCAACCTCCAGAGCGTCCTCCAGCCACAGTGAAAATGGTCCACTTCTCCCTTTCCTTGCCTTCCCTTTGTTGCTGTGATGACTGGGGGGTGCATCTCCTTGGTGACAGTGCTCACAGAGTTGGCTCTGGTGGTCGCCATGGGAAGGGGGGAGATGCTCTGACTGCAGTGCTCACATACTCAGCCATGCTGTGTTCCAAGGGATGCTCTTCTTTATTCTTTTAGTTTGGGGGCCACAACTGGTGGTGATCAGGGCTTACTCATGGTTCTGCACTCAGGGAACCAGATGGGGTACCAGGGATCACACCTGGGTTGACCACGTGCAAGGCCAGCACCTGACCCCTTGTGCTGTTGCTCTGGTCTGAGATGCTCTTTGGCAGCAGCACTCTGCACTCGTGTCCGCTGAGAACTACGCCCTTACAGCTGTGGTGCCCACACATCCTGGAGCTAGTGTTCGATCGCCTCTCATCGGGAACTCTTGCTTTAGGGTGGTGCTCTCACACCTGGCCATGTGCTGAGACTGCTTGCTCTGTGGTGGCCCAGAAGGTTCCACACAGCTCAGTCACAGACACTTTGCTTCCTGTCTGTGGGTGGCTCTGGGGACTGAAGTCCCACACTTGCAAGGATGGCCCTTCTGCCATCAAGCCAGCCTGCGAGTCCGAAGAGTCATATTTAAAAAAAAAAAAGAAGAATTTAAGTCATTCTATCATAAAAGTCTGCATACATGGATATTTGATGTCTTGTTTTTCATCACTGCAGTCTTTACCACAACTACATTTTTTTTTTTGCGTCACACCCAGCGATGCTCAGGGGTTATTTCTGGCTCTGAATTCAGGAATTACTCCTGACGGTGCCCAGGGGACCATATGGGTGCTGGGAATCGAACCTGGGTTGGCTGCATGCAAGGCAAACGCCCTACCTGCTGTGCTATCGCTCCAGCGCCCCCTTTTAAAAAAAAAATTTTTTTTTAACCACAACTACATTTCAGGCATAACTGGGCAAGTGAACTGCTGCTCAAAACTGCACAGGAACCCCACCAAGGCTGAGAGCTGTGACTTCCTCGCTGAGAGGGAAGCTGTATGACACCCCACATCTTTCCCTCAGGGGAATAAAACCACTGGCCATTAATGCTGGGGCCTGGGGCCAGGGCAGTGTGTCAGGAGAATATCAGCTATGGAGGATGGTCACTGACTCTGAGTCAGATGTCTGAGATCAGGAATGTTGTGAACACCCATCCCAGCAGACGGACACTTTGGCCTTGACCTTCAGTGGGTGTCTTATGTGGCTGGAAGAGACACACAGGAAAGGGAAGTCTAGTTCTCTTATCCCTTCTCCATTTTTTGTTTTCAGAAAAGGATCTGAAATTTCTGGATATATAAAATGCACTTCTGAGACTACACTCAGAATGTGAGAGAAGACAAACACACACCTGAAATATGCGTGGCCCTCAGGAAGAGCCCCCCAGAAGACCTAGTTTCTGGTCCTAACACTACCAGTACATATATATGTCTGACTGGTCAGTCAGTTTTCTCACGGAGATCACTAGATCTGTCACAAGGAGGTAAAGACCCACTGTGAGATAGAAAGCCGAATTACGGACAGTGGCAGCGAGAGCACACAGGGGTCAGGGAGCTAGCCTTGCATCAGCTGGCTATTCTTTGTCCTCAGCACTCTGAGGATTGCAGCATACAGCCCTGGGGGCCACTGCACACTTCCTAAGTGGCCTGAGTAACGGCTAAAACCACAGGGCTCAAGCACCACTCACCTCAGGCCCTTGCACTGAACCCTCTGGCTTGGTTGTTCAAGAATCCCTAGGAGAGGCCCCTGAGCACTGCCCGGAAGCCCCCTCACCTCCAAGGAAAAAAAAAAACTAAGAATGAAGCTAGTCCAACCACACAACATATGTTGTCTACAGCTCTGGCAAGAGCAACAGCAGCACAGATGTCATTTATTTTTACTGAGCACAAATGATACCACGTGATTTTTCCCCCTACACTTAATTTATAAGTCTTGTAATATTTGTCATAATATTGAAAGGAAAAGGGAACTCAGAGATCAAATAACTTGTCCTAGGAAACAAAGTGAGGAAGCAACAGAGCTGGGGTCAAACCCAGTCTACCTAGGCCCACTCTTCCTTCCAATCGGCTACCCTCGTGTTTTAACATATTTCAAGGAAACAGCTTTGCCTTACTCAAACCCAAGGTACTAAAGTTTTAAAGATTCCACTGTGGAGACAGATCAGTTCTATCTCCCATTTCACTCTACTTACAATTCTAGAACATATGTTTAACAGTGACAGGCAGTTCCTTTGAAACCACGCAGTTCCTTTGAAACCACATACTGTTTTATAACTAATTCAAAACCGGTGGTCAAAATGTGGGAAACTGCAGTGCGGTTTCCGACAGGACAGCCGGAGCAGCGGCCGCTGCTGAAGTCACTCCCTGGGTGAGAGAAGCAGGCAGACGACTCCGCACATGCGGCTTCTCTTATTCATCACTCTCTGGACCATCGGCTTCCCTGGGGATGCTGTGGAGTGTGTCAGCTTCCTTAACAGGGCTGGGGGATATGACTACATGTCACCCTAGAAGCTGCAGTTTCCCTTTGAGTGGTCACTCAACGTGGAGATTGAAGAAATTTGCTTTTTGAGATTCCTATTTGGGAGCGGGGTGCCTAGGAAAGCAGCATTTTCTTTTGTTCAATTTAACCTGATAACACTCCGTGAGATGAATTCCCTCCCCCACACACCTGGCAATGCTCAGGGCTTATTCCTGGCCCGGTGCTCAGAGATCACTCCTGCCTGTGCTCAGCGAACCATATATGGTACTGAGGATCAAACTCAAGTCAGCTGCATGCAAGGCAAGTGTCTTAGGTAGTCCTGTACTGGTAAAGGTAAAGGTAAAGGTAAAGGCCCTCCCGTTGATCATCGATTTGCTCGAGTGGGCCCAGTAACATCTCCATTGGAGACTTTGTTGTTACTGTGTCTGGCATATCGAATACGTCGCGGGGAGCTTGCCAGGCTCTGCCATGCGGGCGAGATACTCTCGGTAGCTTGCCGGGCTCTCCGAGAGGGGCGGAGGAATCGAACTCGGGTCGGCCATGTTGTCTGCATGCAAGGCAAACGCCCTACCGCTGTGCTATCGCTCCAGCCCAGTCCTGTACTAGGAGATAGTTATTCTTATTCCCATTTTTAAAAACCTTTTCAGCATCATGATCTACACTGTTGAAATGGTAGGATTTCACATATACAATGTTCTAACACCCAGCCAGAATGTCTGCTTCCCTCCACCACTGTCTCAGTGCCCCCAACCATCTCACTGCTAAATTCATTTCTATAGACCAGTTCCCAGGTCCTATTCGTTTTGGCCATTATATCCCACTTTTGAGAGAGATCAATCTGTGTCTGTCCCTCTCCCTAACTTCACTCAGCATGATACTCTCCAGATTCATCCACGTAACGGCAAATTGCATGATTCTGTCACTTCTTATAGCTGAGCAGTATTTCACTGAGTATCTATACTGCAGTTTCTTTAGCTGGTTAGATAAAAACAGATTTAGCAAGACAGATTTCTTGGA